TATGATTTAAAACTAAAACTAAAAGATCAATTTTCCAAAAAAATTAACGAATTACTGAATACACCAAGGATTTATGAAAAAAGCTTAATTTCACCGAAGCGAGATGTAAATATTACAATCAAATGAAAAGAAATTTGCTAACCAACAAGTTTAACTGTGAATTAGAACAAGAATATTAAAGTTAAAATCTTTTTAATTTCATTGTAATATTTTACAAAAAAAAAAAAAATTTTTAACTTACATGAAAATTTGTGAAGAAAGTGGCCAATCAAGAGATGTTTCACATTCTGCGCTTATCGCATATGGTGTAACCACTAAATTTTTATTATGTGAAAAAGAAAATGAAGAAAATTCTCTTACGCGAAAACTTATTTTAATATACATATATTTTCAACAGCAATTTATTTTAATAATAAAATTTGGTTTCAGAAAAAATTCTCGAAAAAAGAATTTTGTGTTTTTTTTTTTTACATTTATCTCGCATATCGTATATCGCATGTATCACGATTAAATTATCATTGCATATGCAAAAACGGAAAATTTGTTTCATAAATTAAGCAAGTGCTTTTCATTAATAATTTTTTGTGAGATTGAAAGTTTTTTTTGCCGCAAAAACAAATAAGAAAAATTTAGGTGTTAAATTAATTTGGTGCAAAATTTAATCGAAATTTTTGAATTTTAATTAAATTTCTTTAAATTACTTCGAACTAATTGGGTAATTTCTTGTGGTGTACACATTGATGGAGCGCATAAGCCAAGATGAATATTGAGTGTATCCGATTGTGGACAGTATCGGTACGTTTCAATATCCGGAATTTCCAAAACAATCCGACAGTAACGACCATCAAATGCATTTGTCCTAAATTTGAAATGAAAAAGAAAAAAAAAACAATATTTAATCGATAATTAAAAATGAAAAATAACTGTATCAAATCAAATAACAACATAACTTAGAAGATTTCAACATGAATTTTAGTAAGCCTAAACCTGGTAGAGAGAGTATTGTTTAATTAGGCTCAGAATTTAAAATATCTTATTTCTTGTAGCACCAACACGAATTTATTAGAATGCATCCCGTGAATCAACAACAATTCAATCTTAAGTTTACTATTTCCTAAGTATTTGTTAAAAGTAAAAAATCAAGTAATTAATTTGAAATTTTTAAATCCATAAAATAGAATACATCACTGCTGTTTTTATCCAACTTTATCCAACAAACTTACATTTTTACATTTTATTTTATCTTTTTATTCAACAAAAAAAAAAAAAGGAAAAAATTTACAAATTTGAAAAACTTATAAAAAAAAAAGGGAGTAAACATACTGTCGTAGCACTGAGCACTGTTCGTAATCACCCAACCAGTAATAATTTCCTTCGCTTACAGCTGGCGGCATCTTACCGAGTGAATCCAACCCTGTAATTTTAAAAGCATTTGAAATTGTGCTAAAATCAAATAATTTTTCATGCGAAAAATCATTTCCATTCAATGATTTATTATAAATTGAAGTATCAAATCTGTTAAAATTTCTCATCATTAGTCATTTTTTTTTTCTTTTGATGAATGATTGATTTAAATGTACTCGAATTTAATTAGCATTTTTTTCCTTTTTTTTTTTCTCCAGGAAGCTATCAGTTCTAAAGTGAATTAATAGTTTTTTCTATTAGTTGTATGATTTATGTAATCATGCTTTTAGTTAGTAACTAAAGTTCTCGTTTTCTGATCTGATTAATTAGCTAAAAAATGAACGGAAAGATTAATGTTTGAAATGGAAAGTAAAATTTGTTAACTCATTAATTAGTAGCATTTGCATATTACATGATAAAATGGAAATATTTGCTACATGAATAATCTTGAAATGAAACAAAAATTGACGTATTTTCTAACAAACGAAATATGGTTCGTTGAAAAATTTAAATTAAAATGTGAAATATTTTTGTTTTTTTTTTTTTTTTTTTTTTTAGGAATAAACATTTACAATAAAATGCCATTAGAAGAAAAATATCAAATTTTTGAAATGTTAAAATTAACAACAGATAAAAACATACACGTAATAACCCATGAAGTTTGACGTATAATATTCATTTTATTCCGTGAACAGTTTATGCATTGCTCGTATTCAATACTTCCAAAATTACATTCTTGCCAATTAGCATCCAGAAAATTGGATAATGAGCAAAAAATTTTAGCCAAACCATTACGACAATTAATTGTAAATGGTAAACGTTGTGAGATATTGCACATTTCAGTTGCTGTTTCCGGGAAATTTATATCTTCCAAAATTGTTGGCCATAAATAATCGATAGATTTAGGCCTTGTTGGTAGGCGAAAATAGCAGAGAAGACAGGTCTGATAAATTGGAATTATTGCAATTAGCAGTAACGATAACAAAAGCAAATGACCACCCAACTTCATTGCATCAAACTAAATGATGGAATCAATTAGTGATAAGATAAATTTCGATGAGCATTTATCATTCACTCACTGATAAGAAATATTGATATCGAAAAATGACTTCCAAATATTAACTATCTGATTCATGGTGTTAGCCTTATAATTATTAAATTTTCAAATCTATTTAATATGCGTAGATTTAATACGACAGTTGGTTTAATTTAATTTTCTTTTTTCTCTTAATCAAAAACTAAAATAATCACTAATTTTTTCAAAGAAAATTAATATTGAATTTCAAAACCGTGATAGTATTAAGGTTTTTAAAAATTGTTATCATGAAATAGTAATTTGATAAAATTGCTAAATGATATTTCGTCATTTAGCATAATTCATTTATTGGCAACTATAAACCGGACATGATCAAGAATGAACTTTCCGATTATGTGAACTTATCCATCTATTGTTTGTTGACGGTGAATACTTTCATCAAAATTACAACAAATTATGTTGCCTAATTGTCTTTTTGAACTTTATAAAAACAAATAATTTTGGCTATACAAAAAGAAAAAGGTCCACTTTTGATGGAAAAAAGGAAGCAGAACAAACCGTACACATAAATTTTTTTTTTAATGATTCATTAAAAATATTAATGATGTCTGCGGTACATTGATTAATTTTTAATGCTATCGTTATAATTGTATGGAAAGTTTTTTTTTTTTTTAAAAAGAAGCAAAAACTTAAAATAGTGATGACCAGTTCATGATAATTCATTGAGAAGAATTTGCGACTAACCTAATGATTGATTCACATGATCATCTCACCAGTCAAGTATTATTATTGATTTTGAATTAAAAAATTGGTTTTAAATTAAAATTAAATCCGAGTTGTATTTTTATTAAAAATGTATTTTTATATGATTCATATATAACATATATTATTGAAATTTTGATAGAGTGAAAAAGAGAAAAGTAATATGGCATTTATAAAACGGAGAAATGGAAGAAGTGCTGTAGGAAATACTCCTAATTTAAATTTAAATTACGATCATCAAACAACGAATTGTTCCAGATCCAGATGAAATACAATTCAATTCAAGAGTGATGTTAATCTACCTATGGGTACACCACAACTAAAATTTTAAATTTGATAAGATTCCATTCGATTAACATCAGTTGTCATGATGATCAAAAAAAAAAAAAAAAGTGGGCGTTGTTTCATTTCCATTCAATTATTTCAAAAATCTATCATTTTAAAAAATTTTTGAAATAACTTAGTAAATCGATAGCTGGTGATCATTACGAGCACTTGATAATCATTATGAGGATAAATTGTACAACATATATTATTGTCATTACAAATATGAATATTGCATATTTTAAATGGCAAAAATACAAATAATAAAATTTTCATTTAAAAATAAAAATTAAACACGACAAAAAAAATTCTTGGATATAAATAATCAATTAATTATGATTAATTACTATTGACCTGCAATGTACTAGCACTAGCGCATAAGTTAAAAAAAAAAACACTCTTTAAAGAATCAAATTAAATTAGAAGAAATCAAAGTATTACTTATAAATTTCCCTGAAAAGAGGATAAATAATTAAGAAATATTTTAAATATTTTTAAAGAAATAATATGTTATTATTTGCATAATATTGAATGGCAACAGAACAATTATAGTTAATACAGAAATCAAAATTCAAGGATGTAAAAGTCAAAATTCATGGATTTCAGCAATCGGCAAGCGCATTTCTTGCTCTTTTCGTCGATAATCGATAAACGTTTTGTCGAACAACTGACACTTTTCGATGTAAATATCGACAGATGTGAAGCGTTTATAAAATGTTTTGAACAAGTTTCTTGGACTAAATTCAGTAAGTCACCATTTAAATTTAATTTAACTGTTCTCACAAAATTAATAATTATAGATAGATTACATATTACTAAAATATAGTTCAAAGAAAAAATGAAACGCAAACAATCTGCTAGTTTGATAGACGGTAAATTAAAGTATGAATTTATTACTATCATTGTTTGTTTAACAAAAATATTATCAGTATTTATCGTTTTAAACATGAAAAATTAAAATATTGGTAGCTCAAACAAGCTAAAAACGTTCGGTAGAATGGCATTTGCACGCTCGACAGTCAACGATCTGCAACAAGCTATAAAATTTTTAAACGAATTATTGAAACATTTCCGGCCACTTCAATCTGTTGCTCTTTTTCATTTCCTTCTCTCGATATAAATATTTATATGTACATGTAATTTTCATAATGTGTAAGATATGATGGCGATATTTTAAAAAATTTTAAATAATGCATTAAATTTAACAAGAAAAACAAATCAAGATCACTGTTTTAAATTGCAAAGATGAAATATAAAATAAATTATAAACAACAATCGGTATATTTCAATAACATTGTATGAGAGAACTAAAAATATATGAAACAAGAGAGTAAAAAATACGTCTAATTTGGATAAAATTGATATCAAATTCAAAAGAAAAAAAGAGATACTGAAAAATTTGACAAGAATTGCCGAACTTTCTTCTCAAATAATTTAAAAAATTAATTATTCAAACAAGATATATATCCACAAAAAATGACAGAAAAATTCATTATTTCATAAATTCATCCTGTAGTGCAAGAACACCACAAAATATCCCTTCTTTTGGTGTTATTCGAAGGCAAAAACCAAATTAAACACTTAAAAACACAGAAGTTTATGTCGAAAAGTGCAATCATAGAAAGTATTTTATACTACAGATGATTATTTATAATTAATAATACTCAAATTACATTTAAAAATGATTCCAGCAGTTGATTGTCGAAACGAAAAAAAAATGTGAAAATAAAATAAACAGAAACGATACTCTGAATATTTTCAAATGTGGTTAGTTCATTTGATCATTAATTGTTTGTTCCGTTATCTCTTGTTCTTCGTTCTTTTCTCCCTCATCATCATTTTTTAAATCATCATCTTTTTGATTTTCATCATCCTCTTTCAGTTTAGCAGTTAAATCTAAACAATATAAACATGTGATTTTAGGAAAAATATAAATATGAATTTTCTATTGAAACGCTTGGAAAACTCAGTACCAAAAATCTGTTTTTAATTAATTCCCTCACCAAATTTTTTCCCCTAAAAAAACGTCTTTACCTTTGGCAACTTTAAAAATTCCCATCGTATTCTGCTCGCATATGTAGCATTTCGGCGTCTTTTGATAATGCCCCAAAGCACATTTTTCACAAAAATAATGCTTGCACCTTTAAAAAAAGTTGATAAAAACAAATGATGTCTAAAGATATTTATGGTATTTGTAATATGACCGAGTTCAAAAAAATTATTCTAAACCTGATAATCCCCTCGGTTCAACACTTACTTTGTGACGACTGGATTTACAAATGATTGTCGACAGATGAAACATTTAAATGGCAGTTCACTCTCTTCCTCTTTTTCATCCTCACTACTTATCCGATACTTATCTTCGTCATCCTCTTTCATCTTACCAGCAGCATAATCACGTTCAATTTCCCAACCATGCTTGTAATCAGTACGATCGTGGAGGAATTTGCATGAATCTATAAAATGGGATACTTTTAAAAAGAATTATTTTCAACGATAAGTTGTTTCAGCAAAAAACATGATGAAATATTCACGAATAGCCATAAATATTACCGACAAATTTAGAGAATTAAAAAAGTTGCACTGTAAAAGTTAAAAAACTAGAATCCTTTACAATTATCACTACAAAAGTTATAACCACAACCATAGAGGACTTTATAACACTGATATAAAGATTTCATACTTATGTTAAGCAATCATTAAATGAAATAAGTCTCAGTATTAAGGAGTATTTCAATCGATCTTTAAGATCATATTTTAAATTTAAACAAAAAGTTCAAATTTTCAATTCTTGGATTGAAAAGACAGGAAAGAGAGGCCTAATTTACTATTATGACCGGAATAATAATAATATTAAAATATAAGAAAATAAACCAAAAATAACCTCCAAAAGTGCAAAATCCCGTCTCTTTATAATCCTTGCAAATATCTGGTGCAAAATCCCATCTCACTGACTGTCTTAAAAAATTCGGTGCTCTTATAGGTCCAAATCGATTAAGACCTGATGAAGCATTTCCCCAAACCGTATCTTTCTTCTCCTTTGCTCCATAAAGAGCTGCACCACGATAAATCTGAAATATATATATTTGAAAAGTGTTAAATTCATACCATTTATAACAGATTTCTGTATAAATTGAATTAAAAATCCAATTTTTGAATCCTGATAAATTCATAAAAATAACAGCATGACATTATGTCATGATGTAATCCTGTCAAGCATCTGTAAACAAAGCAACCAATCAGTTCGCCAAATTTGCGAGTGATTGACTTTCAAAAATTTCAAAACTTTATGAGGAAAATTAAATCTTCGATGTACCTTATCATCTCGTTCCTCTTTCAAAATTTGCTGTACCCGTTCAAATTGTGCCTGAGCATCGCTCTTTACATCAGTATCAATCTCACTGATTGCCGTTGCACCCATATCAGATGGTCCAGCACGTTCTGCTGTTCCACTCGATGCAAATGTGACACGCAATGGATCATCCTGAACTAATTCATCTCCACCGGATGATGATGAGCTCTCTGATGTAGATTCCGACGTTTTCTGAACCTTCCGGTTGATTGTCTAAAAAATTTGACAATAATTTTTGCTGAATTTTTCAGGATTTCTAATCAAGAAGAAAACTGTTTTAGACTATTTCATAATTAGTAAATTAATCGTAAAGGAAAAAAAATTTGAAACATCACAGATCTGAAGCTTCCTTAAAGTAATGAGAATTGAAAAAGAAAAGAAAACAATTGAGGGAGATGGAAAAGATTTCAAATCAACATGAGATATCAACCATTTATTTAAAAATAAACAGACTTTATTTAAAAACAAACAGATTGTATCATCGGATTTTTCCTTTTTTTTCGTTCATCAACATATTTCACCACTTCATTCTTATCTTCATCATCATTTGATGAATCCGATGTTTCAGAAACACGTTTCCTTCTTGCTGTTACATTTCTTCCTGTACCTTTTCGGCTTCTAAATATAGCAAATGATGATATTCCTTCAGTCAATTCCTGATGAGACATTCTCGTATTCCCTGTAAATAAACAATAATTATGTTAAGTAAAATTCAAAAATATAGAGAAATGCTACCTATGACAAATCATCGATACATCAAACAGGAATGTGATTACTGAAAAGATGTTATAAATTAATCATGAAAATAGTTTAAATAAAAATGAAATGAGGAATTACATTTAACATAGTATCCATTATAAGCACATAATCATATGTAATTTAAATGAGAATGACACTAATTGTTAATATCAAATTGATCGTAGAGGAAAAGAGTTGAATTTTGTACCATATTTCATTTAAAAAATATACATATTAAAGGAAATATACAGAATTAAAATTGATTACTGCAAATATGTTATAAATTAACCATGAAAATAGTTTAGACAGAAAATGGGATAAATACCAGAACATCAACAAAGCAAAATGTGAAAAATTACCGAACAAACACAAATATACCTTACGAAAATCATCAAAATTATCGCAATTCGAATTAATACCGAATTTCAAACTATATTGCCATTACATTTCATGTCATGTTCTCTTGTCGTCTCTATTCCAATGCTCTCATTCTCTGCCATCACTATCATATTGGTATTTATTTATTTATTTTTTTTTTGCAAGCTTACTTTTCTCACTTTATAGTAGTACTTCGATAACATTTATAATCACGCCGTTCTCCACATTCATCACATTTTTTTTTGCATTCTCAATCAGTTTCATTCCTGAATTATGTTATTTTCAAATCCTCTCAACTCCTCATTGTATGTTCTCTAACAAACTGCTTCGCTCTTTATCTCTCCGGTCATTTGCACGCTATTTTCCTTCCATTTCAATCACTAAATATCCGTTATGTATATTCTTTTTTTTTCTACGGAAAAAAAAGAGTAGAAAGAAGAAGAAAAAAAAATTCAAGGCCGGAAATATCGTGATGAACCATTTCTAGCATTCGTTTTTTCGCTTTAGGTAATTAGTAATAATGGAAAGCTGAAAATATGCTGAACTTTTTTGAAACGTAAAAAATATTTAGTGGGAGACATAGCGAGATTCCGGTTTTAGTTTTGAAATAAAATTTGCATATTAATTTTCATTTCATTCGTTGATCATCACAAATATATA